AGGACAGCACAGGATGAATGGACTGACCCAGTGACAGTGACAATGGGCTCCTATGTGTCAGAGCCGGTGAGGACGTCCCTTGTGTCAGAGCCGGTGAGGACGTCACAGGATAAATGGACTGACCCAGTGGCGGTAACAATGGGTTCCTATGTGTCAGAGCTGGTGAGGACAGCACAGGATGAATGGACCCAGTGACGGTGACAATGGGTTCCCGTGTGTCAGAGCCGGTGAGGACGGCACAGGATGGAACAAGGTGCAGAACCGCCGTTCCCAGGATCACTATGGGCCAAAGCCAATTCAACAGCACGTAACAAGGGACCGATTATTTCCCAAGAACCGATGCTGATAAATGACATTTCTGGTTCAAATGTCTTTCTCTTGTCATGTCCCCAGAAAGGCACACTTTGAGTGGCGAGGCTGGCTCAGCCAGGCTGAGGTTCTGATCTTTGGTCACAGGTTGACTGTGACTTGCAGATGACTCAATGACACTCGTGTTGCTGTCCATGGGGAGTTGCACCCCTCTGAAGAACTGAATCCACCAGCCACTCCAAGGAGAGAGACGGGCAACGGCCTCCTGTGCGATTCACGGCCTCTGAAGGTCCAAGGGAGAGTCAGCTGTGGGTCGGTTCTGCCTCAGTGGCAGTGAGAGTGAGGTGGAACACTGGGGGCTCTGAGACCTCGTCCAGACATGGGGAGTTGCACTTTTAACCCAACGGCGGTGACTCTCTCATGGCTGGAATCTACCAGCTGCTCTGTGGGACAAACACGGGTAATCTTCTCCCTCAGGAACCCAGTGGAGGGCCAGCTGGGAGTCAGTTCTGACCCCACAGCCATGAGAATGGAAGAATGTTTACAGACAGTGCAGGACAGGGCAAGGTTCTGATGCTGTTCACAGGCTCCTCGACTCGAGGGCTCTGACAACAGGACACTAACAAAAGTGCCGCAGTAACTGCTTCTGGACAAGAGCATCAGAACGTAAAATCCAGACTGCAACTCGTTTGCTGGTAACAGAAAACAGTTCTACTTCTAACTGAAGAGCTTAAGTCTTCATAATAATTTCCCAAAGTCCTTAAAATCATAGAAGAAAATTCTGTGGACCAGGCTTTATGAATCATCCACCGTCTTTCAATGAACAGAGAACATAAATGTTACCACAATAAACCCCAAATCTGTAAGAGAACCGTGAAGACCACTGATGCCACACAGGCCACCAAGGAAAGCTTTGTCTCTGCAGCAGCGATTTTAATATTAATGCAGCGTGAAACTGCTCACGTGTAAAATGTACAGCAATTAAACCTTTCTTCTCTAAAAGAGATTAACCATTTTAAGAGAAAACCAATCGGGAGAAAAAATATACACATTTACTAAAGCTATTTTATTTGGGGGAAAATATGTTTTGTCTCTCTGTATTTTTTTTTAAATATATTTACCTGGCAAAATATTTTAGAATAATGTGTAAACAAACTAAAAGTGACTAAAAGTTTCAACAGTGCAATCAGGAGTCTGTATTTGAAAGGACGTTACTAACAAGTCCTTTTTGAGGGAATTCCGAGTCTATGGCTGTGGTCCACTGAGTTGTCTCAACATTATTTGGTAAATATTTTGTTAACTTCTGTTACATTTTTCCAAATATATAAAGTCCCAAACACATGAGATCCTTAAGCAAAACAGTAAAAAGGAATACTTCAGTAAGATGTCACTATCACCACTATATCACAACTAATTATTTCTTAAATTGACTATTCCAACAGTAACTTGTTACAGTCTATTATAAATATGATGTTCTCACAATTGTTATGAGCATATCCTACCTGTGATTCTAAATCCCAAAGTCCTACAGTTTTTTTGCAAAATAAATTTCAGTCAGGATCAACAAACACGAAATAAATGTTGTGCTCACTATACATCTTATTCATGATTCTCTTTTCTTTCAGTAACTTTTAAAATCCTAGGAAAAAGTAGACCCAAAATATAATGCTAGCTTTCCACAAATAAGTTTCAACTCTAATATTTGAGCTGTTTTGCATCAAGAAACAGACTATTTTAAAGGTAGAGTTCCAGAAAACTTACCTGGACATTAATCTAAGGGAGATACTAGTAAAGACAAATAAATCTGTAGAAACTACGCAGCCTGAAAGAAATGAGAACTCCATGTTGTGCCACGTGAACAGGAGAATCACGGCCAGGACCTTTAGAAGTGAGCGTGGCCCTGTTACACTAATTAGACAACATGAGGTCAGTGATTTTCAAATTCACTTTATCGTTGGCAACGCAACTATGCCCTGAGCTATGGGCTTCTCCAGAACCAACATACAAGCCTCACACGTCAATATGAATGCCGTGCTTTGAAGACATCACCTGTCTGGTCCCTGTTAAATACATAGCAACAGAACAGATGTGAGGTAAAGACGAGGTGATGGCTACATAAAGCCAAAACGGTAGAGGAGACGTTTTCCCAAAGGGGCACAGCCACAGGCCGTGGCGGATTCCGTCCCGGACGTGGTGTGAGGTCCACGATATGAACAGCATCCAGGGCAGGACGCACCACGAGTCTTTGATCCTGAAGAGATGCATGACGACCCTGAGGGCCAGGGCCACGGCTGGTATCACGGTGGAGCAGTGAAGGGGAGGCCTTCGTGGAAGAGCAAGGGCCGCCTGAGGGGAAAGCAGAGCGAGGATCACTTCCTTGTTGGCAAAACATTACAGGCACTCGTTAATATTTTAAGGTATCTTCCAGGAGTCTAGGAAATGTGAGAGAAACAATGTCGATGCTATGTCAGAAAACATGAATCAAATCTACTGTGTATAAAACAGCGCTGAGATACCATCTCACCCCAGCAACAAAGTTCAACAGGGCAGCAAACAACACATGCTGACGAGGCTGTGGAGAGACTGGAACCCTTACTCTCTGCTGGTGGGAATGTAAAATGGTACAGCCACTATGGAAAGCGGTCTGGCGCTTTCTCTAAAAGTTGTAATAGAAATATCATTTGACCCAGCGATTCCACTATCAGGACTATACTCTAAAGACACGAGAGCCATGACTCAAACAAATGTGTGCACACCCACGTTTATTGCTGCGTTATTCACAATAGCAGAGTTGGAAACAACCCAAGTGCCCATCAACAAACGAATGGACAGAAAAATTATGGGACATTCGCACAATGGAATATTACTCAACAATGAAAAAGGGTGCATTTATAAAACTTTACACAACATGGGGGAGCCTGGAGGACCTTATATTAAGTGACAAGTGTCAGTCACAGAAGGACAAACACTGCATAACACTGCTGTTATAAAACAGGACAGACATGGAGGCACTGGGGAGAGAAAGGAGGAAGAGAGAATAGAACAGATGAGAAGAACTGTCTGAAAGGATTATATGATTAGGCATTACAGGTACCCCAACAACCCGGAATAGAGGGTGCTTTGCAGGGTGTGCAGGGGGAGGGAAAGGACAGAATGTGCAACAATGAATAAAAACAAAATTTAAATTTAAAAAATCTTCTATGTATGTATCAAGACTATAGGAAGACGCATCAATAGCCTGAAACATGCAGATGACACAACCCTGCTTGCTAAAACTGAGAAGGACCGGAAGTGCTTGCTCCAGAAGGTGATGGACTGTAGTCTTCAGTATGGATTGAAGCTCAACATCAAGAAGACAAAGATTCTCACCACTGGGCCAATTGGCAACACCATGAAAATGGAAAACAAATTGAGGTTGCTAGCAATTACAGCTTGCTCGGCTCCACAATCAACAGTCTTAACACCAGCAGTCAGGAAATCAAAAGATGAATTGCACTGGGGAAATCTGCTGTCAGGAACCTCTCCAGAGTGCTGAAAAGCAAGATGTCAATCTAGAGATTAAGTTATGTCTAATCTAGGCCAAGGTCTTTTAATTACCCTCTATACATCAGAGAGCTGGGCAATGACTAAGGATGACAGAAGAATGATTGATGCCTTCGAGTTTGTGCTGGAGAAAAGTCTTGTACACCATGGAATACCAAGAAAACAAATAGGTCTGTCTTAGAGAGGGTGAAACCAAGTCTCTCCTGAGAGGCTAGGATTTTGAAGTTCCATCTCACATATTTTGGGCATGAGGCCAGGAGAGATTGCTCCTTGGACAAGGATGTCATGCTTGGAAGGGTGGAAGAACAGCACAGGAAAGGAAGACCCCAGATGAGATGGACTGATACAGTAACTGGAGCAATGGGGGTTGGTGTGTCAGAATTAATGAGACTGGCTCAGGACAGGGCAGGGTTCAGAGCTGCTGTACACAGGATTGCTCTGGGTTGCAGGCGACTTGATGGCACGTAACAACAACAACAATGAATAGTAGTTGACTCTAAGGCCTGGAACAACAACAGCACAGCTGACCCTCCGGTGGGTTTTGGAGACTGTAAACGGCATGAGAGACTGCCCATCTTTTTCTCATAGTATAGTGGGGAGATTCAAACTGCATACCTCTGGGTGGACAGCACAACTCCTTATCCACTAGACCACCAGGGCTCCTTCTAGGTAGATAGTTCTTCATAAAAAGTAAGCTGAGGACAGTAAAGAGAGCCTAAATTTTAATCTCCTCACTTATCTTCCAAAAACGTTACAGGACAAGACAAATAGAACTATACAAAGCCTTTCGGCATAAATAGAGGTCAGAGAATGCCCAAACTTAAAGTCACATGTGAGTATTAAAATCAGTGAGATCTCTCTGATATTCCCAGAACAAGACAGGAAACCCTGAGTTGAAGAAAGAACAGGAGAGTCTGAGAGTGAGTTGAAGTTACCACTGAGCAGAGAGGCCCCAACCCCAGGAGAGAAAACCCTGAAGAGGGTAGGCGCTCTCGGAAACACGAGGACTCGAGATTCTTGACGGCTTCTGAGGAGAGTGTAAAAAGAGTGAGGGTCGCGTGGGGACGGCCATGTCTGACCTTTGCCAGCGTCACAATCAGGAACTGCTGCTGTCAACAGCATCAACGACATAAAACCAATTCCCATGAAGTCAGACACGACCCCCAAGCTCCTGTACCTCATTCTAGTAAGAACACCAATCTTGCCGCTGTGCTGAATCTAAAATCCAGTGTAATAGCTCACAGACCACACAGAACCATACTGGGGAAGTAAAAAGCTATAATTCAGGTTAGTTAATACAGTCAAGACAAATTCCAAAACGTGCTTGCAGGCACCTCAGTCTTAAGCCCATGTTTTAGGCCCATGTTACAAAGTTCTCAGTCCTGCCAACATTGGCTCTCCCTTCAACTCCCAGATTGTCCAACAAATTTGGGCAAAGGCTCTTGGTTTAGCCGGGTTCTGCCTGTGGGGGCAGCAGTCGAAGGTCCTCTCTGTCTCATGACAGGTCTCTGGTCCTCTGCTGCTGATGCTCCGGTCCTGAAGGGTGAGTTCCCTTCTCTTGTTCCTTGTTCCTCTTTGCTGGAAGGGAAAGAGGATTCCTTCTGCTGGTGGACTGTTCAGTTGAACAGTGAGAGTAGACAATCCTCTTGTGAACTGGGGAGACTAGCCAATCCCCTTGTGGACTGGTGAGACTAGCAAATTCCTCTGTGGGGAGGCTAACACATCCTATTTGCCTATTTCTGCCCATCCATATGGCTAAGTCAAGGTCAGTGGCTAGGAAAGCCATCTGAAATAATAAACTCCACAGACAGAGTGGTTAAATGGGGAAAGACAGGCATCCCTTAAGAGATTATAGAGATGAGAGAAAGAAAAATGTGGCTTCTTACAAGAAAAAGGAAAGAAGGAAATAGCAGAGAACCTATATAACCTTCGTACTTCAATCTTTCTCCTGCAGAGAAGATAGTGGATTTGAACTATGTGCTTTGGGGACAGCAGTGAAATGTCTTACCACTAGGCCACCAGAGCTCTAAAGTTATCTGTGACCATCACTACAAGGGTTCTAAAAATGTTAAATTTAACTTTTTTAGAAAAGTAACTATTCCTTGCCACACTGCCAACCAAACTGTCCTTCACCGAGGAACCTTAGTGAAATCTTAATCACCTTAAATTTGCTGTTAGGTGCCCTTAAGTAGAATATGACCCACAGTGACCCTATGAATAACAGATCTGAACCCTGCTGTATCCTGGGCCTTGTGCCCTCCTCCTACTTCCTGACACAACTGAACCGATGGCTGTCTTCACTGTGTCAATCCCTCTCATTGAGTGTCTTCCTCTTTGCCATCCCTCCACCTTTCCAAGCATGAGGTCCCCTCCAAGGAGAATCCTCCCTAACAACATGTTCAAAGTGTGTGAGGTGCAGCTTCACTATCCTTGCCTCAAAGGAGCACTCTGGCTTCACTTTCTCCAAGATGTATCGGTTCCCGTGGTCGTCCATGGGATGTTCTTCTCCACCACCGCAGCTCGGAGGCATCACTCCTTCTTCCGTCGTCCTTATTCACTGTCCAGCTCTCACATGCACAGCAAGTGACTGGAAAGACCATCTTTAACTCCTACCGTTGACTAAACAGGGAGCTGCAGTGGAGTAATCTGTAGGCAGCTGTGCTGCCAGCACAAAGGTGAATGGTTCGAATCCACCAGCTGCTCCACAGAGGAAAAGATGGACATTCTGCTCTCATGTGATTTACAGCATCTGAAAACCCATCAGAGGGTCAGCTATGGGTCAGTTCCAACACCACAGCCAAGACTGACTAACCAAACAAACATCAATGGGTTTATTCTACATTCTTCTTACTATCTTCCCTGTATTTCTAGATGTTTGACTTTTACTTTGTCAGAACATGCACCCTTACTTGTCCACTTCTGCTTTTAAATTCTGAACTCAAAATACATTCACTCTCATCAACTGTCCTTTTGTTGATATAGCCTTTAACTGAGGGCACCTTAGAGCAAAACAACTGGTTAAAATCTCAAACTGAAGTGATGTAAGCAGGTCAATCTATAAAAAGCTAGTAGTACAGAGAAGGCTGACACTTTGCTAACCTCACGCAGCCACAATTCAGACTGGTGGTTTCAAACAGCCAGAGAGGCACAGCCTCTGGGTTAACAGCACAAGTCCTTACAGACGACACCAAGCTGGTGCCGAAAAGAGATATCTGATGGAGTGAAATGTCTTACTTTATAATAATGCAAATTCTCTGTTCTCGTCTGCCATTGAGACAGAACTAACTCATACCTGACTGTCCAGAAGGTTTTCAGAGGCTGTAAATCCCACGAGAGGAGAGTGCCCATCTTTCTCCTGCAGAGAAGCTAGTGGATTTAAACTACGTACTTTGGGGACAGCAGTGAAATGTCTTACCACTAGGCCACCAGAGCTCTAAAGTTATCTGTGACCATCATGACAATGGTGCTAAAAAAGTTAAAGACCAGAAAAATCACACACACATCGTGCGAGGGAGCCCTGGTGGCCGAGTGGTAAGAAGCCAGGCTGCAGTCACAAAGGCACACGGTTTGCATCCATCACCGCTCCACAAGAAGGAAGAAGATGAGGATCTCTTCTGTGGGATTCACTGCCTCTGAGAACCTCTCACCAGGTCAGCTATGGCTTGCTTCCAACTGGACAGCTCACAACAACAACAACATATGCTTCTTACCTTTAAAGACAGGGATCCAGCTAGGAAGAAGTGGTCGATATCAATCACAGAAGCTAAAAATCCAGCTAACATGATTTCCCCCAGGTCATTCTTCTTCCTGACCCCGATGACCACTGCCCAAGACCACATGCCAATGACACAGTGCACGGCATTGTCTGCAAGGGCACGGAGCCAGACGTTGTGCTGAATCAAGGAAAACTGAAGAAGCCTGTCGGCTACCAGGCAAAACATGCCCAGTCCAAGGCTGGAGACCAGGGATGCGGCACTACAGGAGTGCAGGAGAGCGTGGGTCTTCTCGTCCTCCGAGGGCATCACGCACCGCACGTCAGGACAGACCCAAATCCATCAGGGAGCACGCCGCCCGGTCCTGCTCACACCTGTCACCCTAGAACAAAAAACACGGGCAGAGAGTAAAGGAGATGTGAGCGTTCAACCGTGCAGGATGAGCAGTCACGTCACAAACACCAAAACATAAAACCATGCTGTGAAAACTTGAGTTTTCTTTTTTTAATAATTTTTTGTGTGATTTTAACCAAAGTTTACAGAAAACTTGGATTTCCATTCATTCACTGTTGCACATTTCCTTCCCTACCTTCCTACCCCAGTTCACTTTTCTTTTCACTTAAAAAAAAAGAAATTCATTCATTGTTGCACAATGCACCCCCCACAGTCCACTTTGTTACACACCTCTCCTTCTGGACTGCTGTCATGCAAAATAATGCCTAATCATATATTCCTTTTAAACAGTCCTGTCCCTTATCTGTTTCAGTGCAGTGCTGATAATTTGCCCCTTCATTTCTGTTTCCCTCAATCTCCACGTCAGTCCTACTCTACATCAGTGGTGTTATGCAGTATTTGTCCTTTTGTGACTGAGGTGTTTCACGTAGCATAATGTCCTTGGGAATCACCCATTTTGTGTAATATTTTTAGTCCCTTGTTTTTCATGGATGCATAATATTCTGTTGTGTGAATATACCACAGCTTTCCTTATCTATTCATTTGCTGACGGGCACTTGAGCTGCTTCTCTCTCTTTGCTACTGTGAACAAAGCAGCAATAAACATGGGTATGCTGGAGAAGAGTATTGAATGTACTCTGGACTGCCAAGAAAACAAACAGATTCATCCTGGAGAGGGTTAAACCAGGCTGCTCCTTGGAGGCAAGGATTCTGGGGCTTCATCTGACATACTCTGGACATAGTGTAAGGAGGGACCAGTCATTGGAGAGAGACAACATGCTTTGGGAGGGTAGAGGGCAGGCACAGGAGGGGAAGGCCCTCTGGGAGATGGATTGTTTTGGTGACTGGGGTAATCGGGATGGGTGTATCGGAGACAGTGCGATTGGCACAGGACAGAGCAGAGTTTAGGGCTGTTGTACATGGGGTTGCTATGAGTCGCAAGCGACTTGACAGCACATAACAACAGCAACATGCATATATGAAAACTTGCATTTATTAACATGTTATATATCAAATGCCGTGAGGTTCAGGCATAAAAATTCAGCTCTGTAAAAATACAGTTTATACCGTATGGAGCTGCACTGTTGAGGAGACGCCCTGTAGCTTTGCGTGCTAGGTGTTGGGCTGCTCACCCTCAGCTGGCAGCTTGGATCTATCAGCCGCTCCCAGTTAGAAAGGCTCCTCTGGGAGAGAGTTAAGCCTTAGAAAGCTGACAAAGTGTTACCACGAGTCAAAGAACAGCTGAGAGCTCGCTAACTGAAGACTATGACTCTGCAGACTTCAAACGCTCTTCTGTTTCTTCGGCAATGTGTGTGACACGGCAGTAGACACCGATGTGTTTGACGACCCAGCAATTACTTGCTATACTTAAAAGTAAGTACAGGAATCCCTTCCCTTAGGAAAACAATTTGTCACGAAGCCCTAACTTCACAGGTGGTCCAATCAAGAGTTCCCTATCCCTCTGGCCATGATGATGAATCTAATAAAGAGAGGGACTTCAGATGGGCACAGACGGGACCACATTCCTTCCCAGGATTCCCCATAGAGAAGCTGGAGGGGGAAGTTCTTCTTGGAGTCCATGAGCCCACTACACAGAAGAGTCCAGGAGAAGGAAATCACTATGCAGAGAGAAACAAGCATATGAGGCTAAGGGAATTGTGAGAACATCTGCAGGTCTTAACTGTAAGGGTCTCACTGCTCCCCTCGTTCCTACAGCTGATCCATCAACTAAAGGGATCATTCTAGAAATTTCTCAATCGTTTGGGTGTTTTTTTTATCTCCAACAAAATCCCTAAAGTGCTATACAAAGATATTCATAATTCTTTGCTGAGTGCAAATTACGTGGCATAGAATACAGAGCAGTATGTCCAGATAAAATTATCAATATTATATGATACTTGGAAGTTTTTATTTCATTTTTAATTTTGAAACTAAGGTATAAATAATTTTAGAATGACCAAATTCTGTTTTGTAATAAAAACGGTATATATCTCACTTTATATAGAAATTACAAACTTTCCCCAGAAATTTAGAATGGTCAAAACAACACTGAAAAAGAGGAAGTAAGCTGGAAAACATAAACTTTTTTATTCCACATCTCATTATGGAGCTCTGGTCGCCTAGTGGTAAGAAGTTGCACTGTAATCCCAAAGACAAGTGGTTTGGATCCGCCAGCCACTCTGTCTAGGGGTGGAGCTTATCTTTTAGTATAACTTCTCTTAGCCAATATTTGAAGCTTGACATCAAGAAGACAAAGATTCTCACCACAGGGCTAATAGCACCATGAGAGAGAAGGAACTGAGGTTGTTATCAATTCCAGCTTGCTCACATCCACAATCAACACTCTTGACACCAGCAATTGTTGCTGTTGTTGTTATTTGCTGTTGAGTCATTTGTGACGCATAGCAACCCTATGTACAAATTTAATGTCTCTGACCCGCCTACCCTCATTACCCCAGTCACTGAATCAATCCATCTCATCGAGGTTCTTCCTCTCTTGTGCTGTCCCTCCAGCCTTCCAAGAATGATGTCTCTCTCCAAGGACTGGTCCCTCCTTGCAACATGTCCAAAGCATGTCAGACAAAGCTTCAGAATCCTTGCCTCCACAGAGCAGCCTGGTTTAACCCTCTCCAGGGTGAACCTGTTTGTTCTCCTGGCAGTCCATGGTATATTCAATTCTCTTCTCCAGCACCAAAGCTCAAAGGCATCAATTCTCTTTCTATCATCCCTAGTCATTTTCCAGCTCTCTGATGGATAGCAAGTACTTACGAAGACTGGCCTAGATCAGGAAGATCTTAATCTTCAGACTGATGTCGTTGCTCTTCAGTACTCTGGAGAGGTCCCTGACAGCCAACTTTCCCAAAGCAATTCATCTCTTGATTTCCTAGTTGTTGTACCAAGAGTGTTGTTTGTGGAGCCAAGCAAGCCAAAGCTGTTAACAATCTCAATCTTTTCATCATCTATCAGTCTTTGTTTCCCTGATGTTGAGCTTCAATCCATATTGAAGTCTGTAGTCCTGGACCCTCTGCAGCAAGAGCTTCAGGTTCTCCTCAGTTTCAACAAGCAGGGTTGTGTCATTTGCATAATCCTGATGCCACACTCCTCCCCCCTGGATGATCTGTTTCGCATATAGATTGAAAAGGTGTGGAAACAAAATATATCCATGGCGTACACCCTTTCCAATTTTGAACCATGCAGCGTCTCCCTGCTCTGTTCTGATGACTGCCTCCTGGTTCAAGTGTAGGTTTTGCATAAGCACAATCAAATTTTCTGAGATTCCCATTCTTCTCAGAGTCGACCACAGTTTGTTGTGATTGGAAATCAAAAAGGAATTGCATTGGAGAAGCCCGCTGTCAGAGACCTCTCAAAAGTGCTAAAGAGCAAGAATGTCAGTCTAGAGACTAAGCGTGCCTGATATAGGCAATGGTCTTTGAAATGTAAAATTTATGCCTTTGAGTTGTGGTACTGAAGAAGAGTATTGAACACACCATGGACTTCCAGGAGAACAAATAGCTGTGTCTTGGAGAGGGTGAAACCAAGTTCCTCTTTGGAGGCTAGGATTTTGAAGTTCCATCTCTCATATTTTGAGCACATGGCCAGAAAGGACCAGTTCTTGGAGAAGGACATCATGCTTTGAAAGGTGGAGGGACAGTGCAGGTCTGGAAGATCCCAGATGAGGTGGATTGATACAGTAACTGGGGCAATGAGATTAGGAGTGTCAGTTGGTGGGACTGTCTCAGACTAGGGCAGGATTCAGAGCTACTGTACATAGGGTCACGATGAGTCACAGGCAACTCAATGGCACATAACACAAAGTCACTGTTTGACTCTGCTATGTAGATGGGTAGAACATGTGAATGGGGAGTGTTAGTTTATCCTCAAGGGGATTAGATATCTATCATTCCCCAAGGGGACGGGCCAGTCTCAACAATCTACAAAAAGACTGGCTAGACTCGCCAACAGATTGAACAGCTCTAGCTTCAGATACACATCTCTCGCACCACTGAACAAGAAGAGAAAGTAAGCTACAGCTATGGCAGCAACACCTACCGCCAAGCAGAAGGCATGATATGACATGGGATATTGGTGAGAGAAAAGCCAACACTGGCAGGACTAACAACTCTGTTGGACAAATCGAGGTGGGAAGCCAATACTGGCAGGACTGAGATCTTGGGAACATTGGCCCGAAGCCACACTGCTTGAGGTTGAGGTGCCTGCATGCACATTACGGGATGTGTCTTGACTGTATTCTGTTATTAATCTGTATTATAACCTCTTGACTTCCCTAATATGGTTCTGTGTGGTCTGTGAGCTATCTCATTAGATTCTGAACCCAGCAAAGGAGCAAGGTAAGTCTTGAGATGAATAAAAGAGGTATGGGATCATGGGGGACATGCCTGACCTCCTGGGAATTGGTTTTGTGTTACTGATACTGTGGACGGGGACAGTTCCCCTTTGTGATAAAGGTTAGATAAGGCCGTTCTCACATGGCCCTTGCTCTTTTTACATCTCTTTCCGTGCAATTTACTGTCTCTGAAAACCTACCAGAGGGCCAGCAAGAAATTGATTTTGGCTTGACAGCATACAACAACAGCAATTAGGAAGTCACAGTAAACAGAAGAACTTCTCTTTGTACCCTTGGTTTATGGAGAGTTCATGGCTGCAACAGCAAAATGACAGTACATTGAAAAGATTTTGATAAACTAAAACTTCATAAAAATTAAGACTTTCGGGGGGGAGGGGGGAGGGATTTGTGCGGGGAGAAGGGTGCAACAATGAATGAATGGAATTCCAAAATCTCTGTAGGTGTTCATTGAAATGAAAAATAAACAACCTAAATTAAAAAAAAATAACAA